AGAAGAAAAATTGCGATCATGATACTTGCAAATTGAAATGCATGCGAATGACTCATCCTGTGCCCCACATGGAGGAGGAAAAATGCATGAATAGATAATGAAGCGCTTTCTGGCATCTAATGCTAATTATTCGTGTCGCCGCTAAGGAAATCTACTAATTAACTCCAGAACGAAAGTTTTACAGGTGTGATAATAAGCAGGAGACCATGATAGTTCATAAAACTCACTGCCAGATTAACTTTCTCGTCCTTTCTAGCAGGGAAAACATTCGATTGAACTTTGTTATTTACGATAAACTTCGAAGAATCTGGTATTTGGTATTTATGTGGATTAAAGTCACAAAAAACATTCAGGTAGATATATACATAGTAACGTACTAATAAGCACGCAAGTGATGTGTATACACTCACACACGCAAACACACACACACACACAAACACACACACACACACACACACACACACACACACACACACACACACACACACACACACACACACACACACACACACACACACACACACACACACACACAAACAAACACAAACACTCGCAGACATACCCACACCACTTACACACACACACACACACACACACACACAAAGCCCCGCAGACTCCCACACGCAAACGCAAACACACGCAAGTACACTCTCTCAACGTGAATCGAATTACAACAAATAAATTTGTTTATGCGATGTAAATGACGGAGGGAGAGACAGGTGGGGAAACGCACGTGTTGGCGTTCATTACTCATGTTGTTCTACACCTGGTCCAACATGGCGGCACTGAGGGAGGAAGCCGGAGGGAGAGGGATACAGGCAGAGAAGTAGAGGGGGAAGGAGAGGGATAGAGGAAGAGGGATAGAGAGAGAGAGAGAGAGAAGGAGAGGGATAGAGGAAGAGGGATAGAGAGAGAGAAAGAGAAGGAGAGGGATAGAGGAAGAGGGATAGAGAGAGAGAGAGAGAAGGAGAGGGATAGAGGAAGAGGGATAGAGGGAGAGAGAGAGAAGGAGAGGGATAGAGGAAGAGGGATAGAGGGAGAGAGAGAAGGAGAGGGATAGAGGAAGAGGGATAGAGAGAGAGAGAGAGAAGGAGAGGGATAGAGGAAGAGGGATAGAGAGGGAGAGAGAGAAGGAGAGGGATAGAGGAAGAGGGATAGAGAGAGAGAGAAGGAGAGGGATAGAGGAAGAGGGATAGAGAGAGAGAGAGAGAAGGAGAAGGATAGAGGAAGAGGGATAGAGAGAGAGAGAGAGAAGGAGAGGGATAGAGGAAGAGGGATAGAGAGAGAGAGAGAGAAGGAGAGGGATAGAGGAAGAGGGATAGAGAGAGAGAGAGAGAAGGAGAGGGATAGAGGAAGAGGGATAGAGGGAGAGAGAGAAGGAGAGGGATAGAGGAAGAGGGATAGAGGGAGAGAGAGAAGGAGAGGGATAGAGGAAGAGGGATAGAGAGAGAGAGAGAGAAGGAGAGGGATGGAGGAAGAGGGATAGAGGGAGAGAGAGAAGGAGAGGGAGAGAGGGAGGGAGAGGAGAAGGAGAGAGGGAGAGGGGGAAGGAGAGGGAGAGAAGGAAAGGGATAGAGGAAGAAGGAGAGAAGGAAAGGGATAGAGGAAGAGGGATAGAGAGAGAGAGAGAGAAGGAGAGGGATAGAGGAAGAGGGATAGAGAGAGAGAGAGAGAAGGAGAGGGATAGAGGAAGAGGGATAGAGGGAGAGAGAGAAGGAGAGGGATAGAGGAAGAGGGATAGAGGGAGAGAGAGAAGGAGAGGGATAGAGGAAGAGGGATAGAGAGAGAGAGAGAGAAGGAGAGGGATAGAGGAAGAGGGATAGAGGGAGAGAGAGAAGGAGAGGGAGAGAGGGAGGGAGAGGAGAAGGAGAGAGGGAGAGGGGGAAGGAGAGGGAGAGAAGGAAAGGGATAGAGGAAGAAGGAGAGAAGGAGAGGGATAGAGGGAGGAGGAGATGGATAGAGGAAGAGGGAGAGAAGGAAAGGGATAGAAGGAGAGAGAGTGGGTGGAGGTAAGAAGAGGAAGAGGGAGAGGGATAGGAAGAAATAAGTGTGAAAGAAGAGAGAGTAGGAGAGGGAACGACAGAGGGAGGAGTGAGAGAGAGAGAGAAATTGTGAGGGAACGGCAGAGAAAGAGGAAATGGGAGAAAAAGAGAGGGAAGTGGGTGAAGGATAGAAAGGAGAGAAAAGGAAAGGGAAACGGAGAGGGAGTGAGAGAGAGAGAGAGAGACGAATGAATGAGAGAGGGAGAAAGAGAGAGGGGGGGGGAGGATAGAGAGAAGGGTAGCGGAGAGGGTGAGGGATTGAAAGAGAGGGAATAGGAGAAAGAGTAGGAGGAGTTTGATTGTGAGAGGGAGAGGGAGAGGGAGAGAAAAAGAGAGAGAGGGAGAATGTATGAAAGAGAGGGGGAGCAGAAGGAGTGAAGGAGGGAGTAGGAAAGGGAAAGAGAGAATGGAAAGGGAAGAGTGAGGGAGGGAGAGGGAGAGGGAGATGAAGGTAAAGAGTGAGGGACGATGGAGAGACAGAACCCTCAGACAGACAGACAAACAGAGCCCTCAGACAGACAGACAAACAGATAGAGCCCTCAGACAGACAGACAACAGACAGACAGAGCCCTCAGACAGACAGACAGACAGAGGCCTCAGACAGACAGACAGACAGAGCCCTTAGACAGACAGACAGACAGAGCCCTCAGACAGACAGAAAGAGCCCTCAGACAGACAGACAGAGCCCTCAGACAGACAGACAGAGCCCTCAGACAGACAACAGGCAGACAGAGCCCTCAGACAGACAGAGCCCTCAGACAGACAAACAGAGCCCTCAGCCAGACAGACAGACAGAGCCCTCGGACAGACAACAGGCAGACAGAGCCCTCAGACAGACAGGCAGACAGAGCCCTCAGACAGACAGAGCCCTTAGACAGACAGGCAGACAGAGCCCTCAGCCAGACAGACAGACAGAGCCCTCGGACAGACAACAGGCAGACAGAGCCCTCAGACAGACAGGCAGACAGAGCCCTCAGACAGACAGAGCCCTTAGACAGACAGGCAGACAGAGCCCTCAGACAGACAGACAGAGCCCTCAGACAGACAGAGCCCTCAGACAGAAAGACAGAGCCCTCGGACAGACAACAGGCAGACAGAGCCCTCAGACAGACAGACAGACAGAGCCCTCAGACAGACAGAGCCCTCAGACAGACAAACAGAGCCCTCAGACAGACAGACAGACAGAGCCCTCAGACAGACAACAGGCAGACAGAGCACTCAGACAGACAGAGCCCTCAGACAGACAACAGGCAGACAGAGCCCTCAGACAGACAGAGCCCTCAGACAGACAGACAGAGCCCTCAGACAGACAACAGGCAGACAGAGCCCTCAGACAGACAGAGCCCTCAGACAGACAACAGGCAGACAGAGCCCTCAGACAGACAGAGCCCTCAGACAGACAGACAGAGCCCTCAGACAGACAACAGGCAGACAGAGCCCTCAGACAGACAGAGCCCTCAGACAGACAGAGCCCTCAGACAGACAAACAGAGCCCTCAGCCAGACAGACAGACAGAGCCCTCAGACAGACAACAGGCAGACAGAGCCCTCAGACAGACAGACAGAGCCCTCAGACAGACAACAGGCAGACAGAGCCCTCAGACAGACAGAGCCCTCAGACAGACAAACAGAGCCCTCAGCCAGACAGACAGACAGAGCCCTCAGACAGACAACAGGCAGACAGAGCCCTCAGACAGACAGAGCCCTCAGACAGACAAACAGAGCCCTCAGCCAGACAGACAGACAGAGCCCTCAGACAGACAACAGGCAGACAGAGCCCTCAGACAGACAGACAGACAGAGCCCTCAGACAGACAACAGGCAGACAGAGCCCTCAGACAGACAGAGCCCTCAGACAGACAAACAGAGCCCTCAGCCAGACAGACAGACAGAGCCCTCAGACAGACAACAGGCAGACAGAGCCCTCAGACAGACAGGCAGACAGAGCCCTCAGATAACTGAATATCAACCTAACACATAGCTCATAAAAGGTATACTTTAATCAGTACAGAGAATACAGGTATTATCCGATGATTAAACTACAAACCCTGGCAATCAACGAGCTGTGTTGATTATATTCAATAAGACTTTATCGACATTATTTCTCGTTTCATGTGGGTTTTAAGCCGTTATGAAGGTATTATGTGTGTGTCTGCGTATGTGTGTGTCTGCGTATGTGTGTATGTATGAGTGTGTGTGTGTGTGTGTGTGTGTGTGTGTGTGTGTGTGTGTGTGTGTGTGTGTGTGTGTGTGTGTGTGTGTGTGTGTGTGTGTGTGTGCGTGTATCATTTCCACCGGAGAGCAACGAAAAAAGGCTAAATACTCAGTTTTAACCAGCTTAATCAAGTCCTTCGTAAAATGCTGTAATCATCAGTCTGTAGTTTCAAGCCTCCAACCGGAGTAAATAATTCTCTTTGTCGGAAAAAAAGGAAAAAGGAAACAAACACCAACCCTCAAAAGATGAATAAAATTGACTTGTTTATTCAGCTGATCTCACGTCTTCGCTGGCTTCTCCAGACATTTATTTAAGGTTGTGTAAATTTCCTAAGGCTTGAGTAAGGTATGTTGTGAATTCTTGGGATCTTTGACGCCATTTTCGAATACGTTCTAGTCTTTCTCAAATTACATACTAACGGGAATATTCTAAAATATCTGATACTGTTGGCAATCGATGTACAAAAAGGGGTTAAGCTAAATCAAATGCTCGGCGTTAGTACAACTTCTTCAACATTTCGATATTATTAACAAAACCATCTTTGCTAATAAAAAAAAGTTAATTTAGTCTTGTGATTGTAGACATCGAAATATTTTACACTACTAAAATGAATACTTATTATAGGTATTAACATGGAGATGATTATTATAGTGGTTCCTTAAAGTACATGCAAAGTATATTCAGAAAGTAAAAACTACATAAATCATACAAAATGACTAATTAACCTATATTTTCCTTTTCACAG